GAAAAACCTTTCTTCCCGATTACTCTATCAACTCCCGGGCCTAACCCTCAAAGCTACCTACCCTGAATCTGGACAGTTCTATGATTTGCTCACTTAACCTCCACCCCAACTTGTCTTCAACCACTTACCAAGTGTCTACTGAATTTCTACAGTATTTTAAACAGCACTGAAGATGGGAAGCACTCAGATAGGGAGAGTTAGAAAAGAAATAAACGATGTCTGCATACCCCAAAATAAGAAAAAGCTAAAAGAATAATAAAATTAGGAAAGAGCACCCACCCTCTCCTAAATTTTGGCTCATCCAGAGAAGTTAGGAATGAATGATAAAGAGAATCTGAAGAACCTTCCTTTTGTCTGTGCAATATCCATACAGCTTTCTTTGAACACCTTATGCTCAAGCAGTTACATCAACATATACTGTACAAACAAGTTTGAAAGCTCAAATTGGGGCAAGCACGATGACACATTGGGTAAAGACACTTGCTACACAAGCCTGGTGCCCCAAGTTTGATCCCCAGATTCCACAAGAAGGTGGGAAGAAAGAACTGTTATAACAAAGTTGTCCCTACCCTCACAGAACACCCTGGCATGTGTGCACTAGTCACACAAATAGAGTCTTTAAAAAGAAAACTCAAAATTCTCTTTCTGCATGAAGTCAACTCTATACATGAGAAAGTTTCTCTCAGGCCTCTCAACTATACTGACATTTAACTTTTTCTAACATGCCCTGATATCTGCCATGCTAACCTTAACCCTCTAGTTTTTTGTTTTTGTTTTTTTTTTTGCTTTTTTTGTTTTTTTGTTTTTACGAGACAGGGTTTCTCTGTATTGTTTTGGAGGCTGTCGGTCCAGCCCGGCCTCGAACTCACAGAGATCCACCTGCCTCTGCCTCCCGAGTGCTGGGATTAAAGGCGTGTGCCACCACCGCCCGGCTAACAGGAAGTATTTTAACAAAAGTGTTATATGCCAAGTGTTATCTAAATAAGATATTGGAATATTAGTTATTGAAACACATTGGGTATCAAAGTTAGATATAAGCCAGAGTGTTAGTTCTTCCAGAAAATACTGATCTTAATTTTCATGGAACTTCAAAAGAGTCATTTGAAGTAAAACTTGTATGCAGTATTGGGAAAGTTAGCACTAGAGGGTTGCCGGGCGGTGGTAGCACACGCCTTTAATCCCAGCACTCGGGAGGCAGAGGCAGGTGGATCTCTGTGAGTTCGAGGCCGGGCTGGACCGATAGCCTCCAAAGCACTACAGAGAAACCCTGTCTCGTAAAAACAAAACAAAACAAAGAAAATACTTCATGTTTACACTATCAATGTACAATTATAATCTATTATAAATTTTATATTCTATTATAAATCATGAAAAACATCAGTGCCTAAGTTAATTCTGATAAGATATTAAGACTCAATATATTTCTTCCCACTGAAATATTACTTAAAAGGCAAATGACAAAAATCAAAAAATAGCAACGGGAAAAAATTTACAAATCAAATCAGCCCTGATCTTTTTCTTTGAAAATAAGCTAAAAGGTGTAGTGGAAACCTTTCATGATGAGAGGATGCAGGAGGATAGTGAGTCTGAGGCCAGCTGGCTAGAAACCAGGACTCTTGTCTTAAAAACACTGTATATGCATATATGTATGTGTGTGTCTATATTGTGTACCAATGCTGAATCATATGATTCATGTAGACTGTGGCTCAGTAATGTGTGAAGATCTCACTCTCAGAAGTCTGTCCATAGTTATGAAATAGCTAACCCAGGACTAAAGTAATACTTCAGCCATACCTATGTGCTCAAAAAACAACTGAGCATCAGGCAGGGCGGTGGTGGCACATGCCTTTAATCCCAGCACTAGGGAGGCAGAGGCAGGTGGATCTCTGTGAGTTCGAGACCAAGCCTAGTCTACTGAGCGAGTTCCAGGACAGGCTCCAAAACAATACAGAGAAACCCTGAGAAACCCTGTCTTGAAAAACAAAAACAAAAAAAAAAAAAAAAAGAAAGAAAGAAAAGAAAAAGCCAAAACAAAAAAACAAAAACCTGAAAAAAAAAAGGCTTCAAAATTAAGAGGAGAAAGAAAGATAGCATATTTGGTTTTGTGCAGTATCAAAGTGAAGCAACAAAAAGGGCTTATACAACCTCCTAGTTTCTGTTGAATTATGTGTGTGTGTGTGTGTGTGTGTATGTGTGTATGTGCACAGAGACTGTACAAGAGTGAGCACAGGAGGGAACATGCATAGAAAAACAGGTCTCAATACTGAAAAGGAGTAGTAAAGAAGCATTTACCAAGCATACATACCATGTGCCAGGCACAGTTCTAGGCACGTGAGGAACAAAATCAGCGAAAGTCATTATAAAAATTATATTCTAACAAGAGAAGAATCTAAATAATAAACTAGGGTTGTTTCCCACAAAAATTCTTATATGCTTAAGGTAACAAGCAGTCAAATAGAATGGTGTCAATAGCAAAAGAAGCAAAATCAAGTTACTACTAATAAAAAAGAGAATCTGAAAGAAAAGAGAAGAGCAGAGCAGAGGATACAGCTCAGTGGTAGAGTACAGAGCCCATGGCTCCATCCTAAACATTGCAGAAGAAAAAGAACAGTCAAGCCACAGTTAAGTGATAAAAAACACCCGAAGTTCTGAGTAACTTAATAGTCAAAGCAAGTCAGTATCAGTTCTGATAGTTCTTAGAATTATAAAATAAATTATTTACAAAAATTCTAATGAATATAATAGCATGGGTGCTATAAGAATCCTAAATGTGAAAGAATGGGGATTATGGCAATAGGGCTTAGCGACATCAAGGGCAAGGATTTGAATTCCTGACCATTACTACCAGTGAAACCTTTTAGGTTATCTATAGAACAGAAAACTGTAGCAACTCACAAGGCTGTCATCACTAAGATTAAGAGATAATCGTGAACCAGGGGAAACTCAAATGTCTAGTTAACAAGTACATGTGGAGTATATGTTAACTATAATATTATTCAGCAGTAAAAGGAATACATGGTGTATGAAACAGGAGAGACAATAATTAATAGCATCATGCTGAGCAAAAGAAGTCATACACACATACTTATCCTCCATTGACACAAAACTTCCAAATGCAATGCCAATCTACAGTGAAAGCAAGTCGGTGATTTTCTGGAATCATAGTCCAGGGATTGACTACAGAGGACAAGAACACTTTCTGAAGTTGGAAATGTTTCTTATTCTTGGTTGTATACGTTTGTGAAACCTCATTTAATCTTTATTGTAAACCGGTACATCTTCCTGAATTTATGTCTCAGAAAAATAGATTTTTAAAAATTTTATATTAAATATACCTAGAATTCTTAACACATTATCTGGTTGACCTAAATATTTCACAAACAGTAACTACCACTATACAACATTCATGAAGAAATAGCCAATAACTGATGAGTTCTTTTTTGGTTTTACTAGTAAAAATAAATTACGGAGTTTTAGACCAAGCTCCATGAGGAGCACGCCTGGGACCGAGACACAGGACAACTGGCAAACCTTAGACAAAAGTAATGTAAAAACAAAGTCCAAAAGAAACGGTTAAGAGAAAGACGTGTGCAGCGAAGACAATACCATGCGACCAAAAGAAGACAATTCTAAATTACCGTATCAAGACACTGGCAGAAGACAGTTCAAAATTGAGTCAATGACTATCTAAGCAAAGTTCTCAAGCACGACTAAGCTCTAAATCTTAGGTATAAAAGCTAGGCTTTTTTTTTTAATTGGTGGTTTAAAAGGAGGCCCTATTTTATCTTCTACTGAAAATGTTAAGTCAGGTAACCAAACACCAAAGAGAAATGTGATTAAGTCAAAGCACCAACACAATGAGGTCAGAATTCAAGCAGCCAATCAAAGGCTTAAATGCATTTCCTGCACTATTAATAGTCAAAAGAGAAAACCAATCGCAGAAAACTCCAGCTTTCTTTTGACAGTCACAGAAGCAAGGGAACCAATCCACACACACCCGAGGTTGACAATAAGGCGGGACTGAAGGTTCATTGAAGAAATTCTTCAGGGTGCAGTTACTATGAACTTCGCACGCCAAGTAATAACACTCCAGAGTCGTAAACACTGTCAAGTCCGGGGAAATTCAGTCTTTGGTAAAATGTAACCCCTGGGAAGAGGGAAACAGCATTTTTGCCAAAAATTTACTATCCGGTCAAAAATGCAAATATCAATGTAGACGCACTGGGTCTTTCAACTTGGAAATGGCTATCTCGCATGCAACCTCCCCCCGGACGATGCTCTGGGAAGCGCGGGCCTGGTTCCTAGCACTCGGGCTTCTTCCTAACGCCGTGCAACCGAGCAGGGTCAGCCGGGCTGGCTAAGCCCGCGCGCGGTGCAGGGGGCTCGCTAACGCAGAGTCCTGCTCCGGAGTCGCTGCCCCGGAGCATGGCTGCACCGCCCCGTCCCGCCGCACCTCCTCCGGCGGGCAGCGCACACACCATCGTCCTGCTAGCACAGACCATCATCACCCTGCTAGCACGAAGGGGTTTGTTTTGCAAGAGTTGTACCTTTTCCTAAATCATCTCAAAGGCACTCGAATGCACACACGGATTTTAAAGATCGCCTAGCCACAGGACCCCACCCCCACCCCCACCTCAATTAATTAAGCCCGCACCGGGGCAATGTCTTTATTACGAGGTAAACAGAGGCCGTACGCCAAGTGCGGCCAGGCGCATTCCCTGCGCCATTCCCGGCCGCCGCTTACGGCAGGGCCCCCTTACGGCAGCGTAAGCGGCGCCGAGAGCTAATCACAACACTGGGACGCAACAACATGGCGGCCGCGGGCGGGCGCTGCGCCGGCCGGCAGGTTTACGCTACTCCGCCGGCGTAGGGTCCCGAGCGCGCAGCAGCAGCGGCGCCCTCCAGCGAGCGTAGAGCGCGCTGTGAATGGCGAGGCCCGGCTGACAAAGGGGAGGGGGGAGGAGGGAAGGGGGGGGGGTAATAAACACTCGAGTCCCTACCGATTCCTCCTCCTTCTCCATCCCGGTGGGCATCTGGGGCACGGCCCGGTTGATGGAGACGCAGTCGTTGAGATCAGGCATGTCCTTGCCGCGGTAGATGGGCAGCGGTTTGGCGGCGTCCAGCGCCCGCGCTCGGAAGGAGAGTTTACTCATTGTCTCCCCGCCTTACAGGAACAGCCCGGGCGGCGGCGGCGGCGGGGCGGGCGGGGAGGGGGGGGGGAGCACTCCCGCCGCCTCCTCCACCTCCTTCCTCAGTGCAGCGCGGCCGGCCCGCTCCTCCTCCTCCTCCGCACTGCCCCCGGCCCCAGCATGGGCGCCCACCCCGCCCAAAAACAGCCCCCCGCCGCCCGCGGCCGCTTCCACACTCTAGATCCGCCGCTCGCCCGCCCGATCCGCTCCCTGCGCCATGGCCAACATGGCGGACATTACCACAGCGGCGGCGAGCGATCCCGGCAGCCCGCGCGAGAGCGCGCCCCCGCCGCGGGGACGCGCGGCGCCCTCTCCCTCCCTCCCTCCCTCCCTTTCCCTCCCCTGCCTGCCCACCCACTCCCTCCGCGGCGCGGCTCGGCGCGGCCAGCCAGCCGGCGACGGCGAGCCGAGTCCGGGTGCCCCGGGTGCCCGGGTGCCCCGGGTGCCGGCCGCTGGGGCTGCACGTCGGCGGGGCGGCAGGTGCTAGGTGCGCTCGCCCGGGCGCCGGAGCAGACGCCTCCGCCGCTGCCGCCGCGGAGTCGTTGGCGCGCAGGGCTCCCTCGGGAAGGCGCGACGCTCTCAGGACCGCCCGCCCCAGGGGGGCAGGAGCCGGCCACCCGGGGGCCCCCGGCCGCCACTCGAGCCTGCCACTCGGAAAGCTCTGATCTCCGGAGCGCCCGCTGGCTGGTTCGCGCCCCCCCGGGGTTTGCGCATCCCGGGGAGGTACGCAAAGTCCGTGGCGTCTGCCCACGCCGAGAGTCACAGCCCTGCTGCGGTCTCGCGCCCTGAAAAACCCGGCTGCCCGGGTCCCGAAAGAGCGTCCCCAAAGTGAGGCTCCCTCGCCTTCACCGGGAGGATGCTTGTGGGAGAAGCCGTGAGGGCTCATAGTTGGGAGACTGCTGGGCGCAACGAGCGGACGTGCACCTGTCATCCAAACTTGCCTCGTTATTTAGTGGATCTTAGGTAGTTCTGACTTCAAAAAGAAAAAAGAAGAAAAAATGCCAGTTCTTAAAAGTCCCATTTGAGATATTTTGCCAAAGCAAATACGTTTAAAAAAAAAAAAAAAACACTGGTTACGGTGGCGACTCAGTTTAATAAAGTTCCCGAATCAATTAACTTGCATGTTACTGTTTTACAACTGTTGAATAATTAGCAGTGAGAGTCGTAAATACTTGAAGAAAAGAGCAGCTGAAAAGATGATAGTCCAAAAATATATCGATAACGCTTGAATACTTGAAGAAAACGATACAACATGACACGAGAGAGTAATGCAAGGTTAGTTACCAAATGGCATCTACAGACAGTTGCTGTGACCTGTCAGAGAAAGGCGACATAGTTTTGGCCAGCAGTGGTAGAGTAGTCTCTCTGCCAAAGGAAGAAGAATTGACTCAATTAGATACAGCTACTGTTGATACAAACCTCTTTGTTGCCTAGTTTCTTTGTCTTTAAGCATTACAGGTTTCTCAGAAAATTCCCACAAAGTGCAACAATTTTACCATTTTGTGATTATTGACAAGAACCCTACCTAGCTCAGAAAAAGGTGGATGGTTTGCTAAAATCTCACTGTAAACCTGATTTCTCCTATCATTTCTTGATAAAGCAAAACTCTCCTCATTGCCGCCCGCTAATTTTCTACTTCTCTGCCTACCCTTCTCCCTTATCTCCCCTTCATCTCCACTTTTCCCTTTGAAGGTAGGATGGTGAATATGAACTTCCTAGTAACATCTAAATAATCTGACCAGTTTGTCCCACCGACACTTTGGAGCATAGTTCGGGGGGGGGGGCTTGTGTTTTACAACCACTGTTATTGGGAACAATGAATACACTGTGACATGTTTCTTGTAAGCAATACCTTTCTGTTGCTTCTGTAGGTATGTCCCGCTCTGCGGCTACCCTCTGGAGTAGTTCCAGTCCTTTGTAAGGAAGAGCAAGAAGTTCTCAGATGGGATGTGTGTGTGGGGGGGTCATTACTAAGTTCAGGCCTGAAAGGCAAAGGACAACAGTGGTTGAAAAAAATAAAAGAGTCACCCAGGCCTTTTATCTGAATGCCCGACCCTTCTCAGGCTCAGAAATGATAACTTTCTTCTAGTCTCTCTGCTTAATGTTACACTCAGAAAAAGAAGTGTGAACACTTCGTGTGTGTGTGTGTGTGTGTGTGTGTGTGTGTGTGTGTGTGTGTGTGTGGTTTCAAGCAGTTCAATCCACTTAATTCCTATAGCTACATACTCCTCATAGGGAGAAATACTGGAATTTTTACTAATAAGGAAACTGAGACTCAGACAGGTAATTTGTCAAATTCTAATACCACTAGTGGATCTCAGAACTGAATTTAAATCTGGGTCTCTCCTGAGTCCAAAACTCTATTCTCACAGTGGCATACTTTAGTATCCAAGCTCTTTTGTTTATTGACCATCCAATGTTCAAAAGCTTCTGACCCAAAGTTAATTAATGAAAGCTTCCAAAGTTAGTGAGTGAGAACTTCTAGCCAATGGCAAGAATGGCATCTCCTCTCTAACCACTGCAAACCTAGTTCCACATCTCACTCGAGGCAGGCCTCTAGTATGTTTGCTGGTTGCTATGAAGTCATATCATATCAGCTCCATGAAGAACTTCAGTACTACTGATCCTGTTCCATCCCAAGTTGGAGTTAGAGTGCCTTCCTGGCCTGGCATGAGTGCCTTCCTGACCTGGCATCGGACTTGGCCATGGATGTTAATTTTTCTTCTTTGGCCTGCGGTGCTCTTCAGAACTTTGGCCATCAGAACTTTAGAACCAGCAAGAGCTTCTCAAAGAACCATTTTTTTCCCCTAATGTAAAACTCTACCATGGGTCTGGCATTTCCATCATAATTGGTTTGCTGTTGTTCTTTTGCTTTGAACAGGTAACAAATTTTTCCCCAAATGTCCCTTTTCTTTTTGCCTTGTAGGCGATGATTACAGAGCTAAGAATAAACAGTTTGAAGCAAATGTCATAATACTCTTTCATCTGAGACACAGTCTGTTTTCTTAGCTTCTAATTCAGTGCCCAAACCCAAATGTCTGTTTCATTTCTAGAAAGTAGTTTTTATTTATCCACAAATACTATTTATGATAAAGCTTATTTCTATTAGTTGAATACTTTTATTTATTAGTGCTAAAGACACAGATACCTTTTCAGCCCAGACTATTCTAATTTCCATATGCAATGCACATGGACGTGTACAGCCATCCTAAAAATCAGTCTACTTCAAATATATTCTGGGTCAATCCAAATGACAGTCATCTAGTCTAGCAAATGCAATATATAAATACCAAGAATTAGAACCAGTTTTGTAACCATATAAAAATACACAAATTAAGTAACTGTAAAAAATTGAAATTACATGTCAGTTTGCATTTCCCAGTACCATAATCAGGGCTTCCAAATAATAGACAAGTTACTTTTTGAAAACAACCTTTAAACCAGTAAACACAGTCGCTATTCAGTGATTTCAGGGTTTTGCAAATGTCACGTTCCTTCTAATTGACTCCAAGACTCGGCAAACCCAATTGAAAGTTAATTGGGTTGGTATGTGAACTGCATCTCCACCCTCCCCCCATGTTCCTAGGAATGAAGCTAGCACTAATAAAGCGTCCTTGTTTCCCATATGTAATCTGAATGTGGGAGTCTGCACTCATTACAATCAACAGGGATCGGTCCTGCAGGCCCAGTGCGCTTTACGAAGGGAGCTCTTGATCTTTTGAGACGTTGAGAGAGAGACCGGACTGAGGAGACACATGACAAATGCCTACTTCCACCTCTTAACTTGCCACTGGGAACGTGAGAGACAGTAAATAGAAATCTGTAGCTGTGGCTCAGTCGCCCGAGCAACATCTCCTCTCTCAGACCTGGTTGGAATCACAGGGTGCCACCTTGTGTATAAGCTGACGATTTACTTCCCGGCTCCACCGAGCCTCCAGACAGAGTCAAAAATAGTCTGCCGCAAACCCCTGTGTTTTATTAACCAAGGAAAGATGGGACGGATTAATTGAAGGAAACAAATTTGAAAATGCACAAGTCGGGAGAATCTACAACACTTGACTTTAAATCTGACGGCCTGTCTCATTTGTCTCCCTACCCCTGACCGGAAAACATACCCAATGTCCCACATATGGAATAGATTGACACCGAACACTCAAGCTTTTAAGTGGGGGAGGGGGAAGGAGTAATTAAGCTCTTGTGATGGGGCTAATATTTCAGACTTGAATAATTACCTGTGTTCTACCATGTGAGCGAGTGAGCTACTTACTATCAGGACTTGGAATTTCTTACTGCGTTAGGTTCTACCCAGCTGATGAATATGGTCCTGTTTATTTTAATAAAGCATGATAGTGATGTCTGGAAAAATAAAGTCGAAACAGGGAAATACAAGCCAAGTCATGGCGGTAAAATAGGATCTCTTTCAGTGCTGCTATTTGAGAAAAAACCCTCTACCTTCAGTACTGCTCCCGCGTGGCTAAGGCCACCACTTTGACTCATGGAGATGGTGGCACCTTTTGTGCTATTCCGGTCAGGCGTTGGAGTGAAGGACCTGGGGCTTTGCTGGAGGTTGTGGGAGCACACCTGCTCTTGGTTAGCTCTCCTGCGACAGGCTCATCTCAGCTGTCCTCCCCGGCCTTCGCTACAGGCTCATCGTTTCCTCAAGAACCCCAGGAAGGTAGCTGGGAAGATGCGTTCATTTATCCATCTTCTCCGTCGTCTCCCCCTTCCGGGTCTCCCTGACCATACACAGGCGCAGAGCACTCAGCTCTCTGGGGTGGAAAGCGTTAGCTGAGAGGACTCCATTGCTAGGAAACCTGGGCTCCGCTATTTTAAATGCAGTCCCCTCCTCTCACCTGTTTTTGTGGTCTGTTTTTGTTTTTGTTTTTTAATCTCTCCCACTAGCAAAGAGGTGATGTTTACCATATGAGCACAGACTTGTGAATCAAGTGTGCAGGTCAAATCCCGAGTTAAAGAAAACTGTGAACTGATTTCATAAGAGCCATGCCTTGTTGAGCTTATTGTTGTTGTCCTGGAAAGAAATGGCTCGTGTCCTACGGTGTCTGCATGGTATTGTTAGCCCCCTGAATTCCACAGTGAACTGCCACGGGGTAGAGACCTTTCATCAGCTCTTAGAGGTGACTTTGCCGGAAAGAAACACACCCCTGAAATAAGACACTAATTATTTATACCTAAGCCACTGCCTCTCTCACCTGGTTTCAGAAAGAATTCCATGCGGCTTTAGTAGGAAGCCAACATATACAATAGGACAGCATTCGGACTCTAAATTCCTAGCACCCTGAAATAAGCATGCCAGCTTCACAGTTCACGGTGACCATTAGATACTGTCATTACTCTGGATAGCTACCACTGCTCTCAATCGGAATGTCCAGGAGCAAACAGAACACTTAGATGGTATAACAGTATCTCAACAATAGCTTTACTATAGATACAAAGGGGCACCCTAGTGCTGTTTCCTTCCATATAAACTAGGAGAGTAAAATGAGCCTGGGATGCCTGAGGATAGGATCACCAGCCCACATAGGTTTCAGGGTAAATGGACACTGTGGCCCCCAGGTAACCCTTCAGGAACGCATTTTCTCCCTACTGTCTCTTGATGAACTGGATCGAGCTGAAAACTGGGCTCTGTTCTTTTCTCCTGAAGTGTGGTTCTTCTAAGTGCCCAATTACACTCATGTGCCTCAAATGTCCATGTTACAGGGGTTAGAGTTAGCATTCTTTTGTGAAAAATGCTTAACAAGTACCAATGCTTCCTCTTGCAGTCATGGCCAAAGCTGGATACAGAGGGTTCTTACTCATAATCCTAGCACTCAGGAGACGAGGAAGGAGGAGAGTGAGTTGGAAGCCAGTCTGCGCTACATAGTAAGACCTGTTTCAGTGGACAGATGGAGATAGATAGATAGATAGATAGATAGATAGATAGATAGGAGATAAATGGATGGATGGATGGATGGATAGAAGATAGATGACAGATAGAAGATAGATGATAGATAGATAGATGGTTAGATAGGCGATAGATAGATGATAGATAGATAGATAGATAGATAGACAGACTGATAGACAGATAGACAGACAGATGCTAGGGGGTGGGGAGGATATGGAAATGGCTCAATCATTAAAGTGCTTGCTATGCAAGTCTGAGAAGCCAGCACCCATGTAAAAAGCCAGATACAGTGATACATGCCTATAATTTCCAAGTGGAGGAGGCAGAAGCAGGAGGAACCCTGAGTATTGCTGGTCAGCCATTTAAGCCAGTTGGAATCTTCAGCTTCAGTGAGAGACCCTGTCTTTAAAAAAAAAATGAGATAAAGGAAGCTAGAGAGATAGCTCAGTGAGAGCATGTGCTGTTCTTCCAGAAGACCCTGGTTCAACTCCCAGCACCCACATGGCCACTCACACCTGTCTGTAATTCCAGCTCCAAAGGATTGGGTGCCCTCTTCTGGCCTCCTCAGGCACCAGACACACAAGTAAGTGATGCACAGACACACATGCAGGCAAAACATCCATACACATAAAATAATAAAAACCATTTTTTAAAATGAGGTGGGAAACAACAGAGGAAGACACAATCTCAACCTATGGCCTCCACATATACATGCATATCTGTGTGCATACACCACTCACACATACAAGTACATACACACATATACATGTTTAGACACAAATATTCATTCTTAGAGAAAAATCATATATTTATCAGAGATCTGCTTGTATCTGAACCCTGAACCAGACACTCTATGTTTATATTACTATTCCTAAGAGTAGCAAAATTACAGTTATGAAGCAATAGCCAAAATACTTTTATGGTTGGGGATCACCATAACACGAGGAGCTATATTAAAGGCTTGCAGCATTAGGAGGGTTGGGAACCACTCCTCTAAAATGTCAAATTTTGCCAAAAAAATGTATTCCAGGTTGGGAAGTCACACTTGTTGCTTTTGCAAAAGAGTTGATTTGATTCCCATTTCTGACATGTCAGTCCGAAACCATCTGTAACCCCAGGCCCAAGAGATCCAACAGCCTTTCTCACCTCTGAAGGTACCAGGCATACATGTAGTACACATACATATATGCAGGCAAAACACTCCTACACAAAAAGTAACAAAATGAATCTAAAAACATTTCTTCCACATCTGTGAAATAATCACGCGACCTTAACAGTAGATTTGAGGGAAGGAATCATGTCCTTTTTTTTTTTTTTTTTTTTTTTGGTTTTTCAAGACAGGGTTTCTCTGTATTGTTTTGGAGGCTGTCCTGGAACTTGCTCTGTAATCCAGGCTGTCCTGGAACTCACAGAGATCCGCCTGCCTCTGCCTGCCGAGTGCTGGGATTAAAGGCATGCGCCACCACCGCCCGGCTAATCTTGTCCTTCTTACCATCTTTCTTTCAGCTTTGTTCCCTCTCCCACTCCCATTTGCTTGTTTAGTGTGTGTGTGTGTGTGTGTGTGTGTGTGTGTGTGTGTGTGCGTGTGCGCGCGCGCACGTGCACATACACACATGCTTGTGACACGCTGCTACAGATGTGGACATTAGAGGACAATTTTCAGGGGCTGGTTCTTTTGTCCCACTGCGTGGGACCCTGGGCTGGAACTCAGGCTGTCAGGCTTGCAGCAGGCACATTTATCTGCTGAGCCAGTTTACAGGCCCTTCTCCCTCCTTTCCTGTTTTCCTCCCATCTCTTCAAAACCAAACATTTTTGTCACCTCTTTATTTATTCTGTGTGTGTGCACATATGTGTGAGGAGATCAGAAGACATCTTGCGGGATCGGCTCTGTCCCTCCCCTCTGTGGGTCCAGGGGAGATTAAACTCGGGTCTTCAGACTTGGCTGCAAGCGCCTCTGTCACCCAGCTGCCATCTCAATGTCCTGTATCTTATCTTAGGAACTTCTAGAGCTGATTTTAATAGAAGTTTCTGGGCTGCAAGATAGGTAGCTCCTGTTCAAGTCAGAAGGAGACCAGACTTCCATGAAAGGACTCATCATAGCTCATGGGCTGGGAAGCAGACTACCATGGTCACAAGAGGCATAAAAAATGACATTAGCAGAAGTCAGGATGACTTGTCTACACCATACTGGGAGGACTTCTGAAAGAACTGACCAATGGTTTTTGAAAATGTCTGATTGTTTTCAACAATCTGTTAGATTATATATACACCAATACTTTTCCTAGCACATCCACCTGATTTCTTTTGCCACTTTTTTTTATTTTATAGAAAATTACACATCTGTCCCCCATTCCCACCCTCTCATGCTTCCCACTGACCCCCCAACCCACCCACCACCCATCACCCACTCCCCAGTGAGACCCTCCACGGGGGATCATCAAAGTCCATCACATCATTTGGGGGAGGGCCCAGGCCCTCCTTTCTGTATCTGGGCTGCAATAGTATCTCTCCATTGGGGATAGGCTCCCCAAGACCATTTGTGGCCTGGGAATAATCCTGGCTCCACTGTTAGAGGTTCCATAGACTGCCTTGGCCTCCTAGCTGGCACCCATATTCAGAGGGCTTGGTTTGGTCCAATGCTGGTTCTCCTGCTTTATAACTAGGATCTGCGTGCTCTCTTTAGGTCAGGTCAGCTGTCTCTGGGGGTCTCTCCAGTTCCGTCTTGGTTCATTTGGTCATCTCTCCTCCCTCTCCACAACTGGATACTTGAAGTATGGCTCAGTGCTCAGCTGTGGGTGCCTGTTTCTGCTTCCATCAACTACTGGGTCAAGGCTCTAGGAATGGTAACCAAGGTAGTCATCAATCTCATTATAGGGGAAGGGCATCAAAGGCAGCCTCTCCACCACCATCCGCCTTATTTTAAGGAGAAGTCAGACATCATGGGAAGTCAACCCTGATGCCTGAATTAAGCAAGCCCTTTCAGTAGATGCTGTTATTTGTTGCTGCTTCTGTTTCTGTTTGTATTTTAAAAGGATGTTGTGTTTGTTTCTGCAACAGGGTTTTACTATGTAGCTATGCAGACCAGGCCGGCCTCTAAATCACAGAGATCACCGGCCTCTGCCTCCCCGGTGCTGGAATAAAAGGCCAGATGTGTTTATTTATGTGTGTGTGTGGTCTGTGTGAGTGTGTGTGCACCTGTGTGTTCATGAGGGCCAGAAAAGGCACTGGATCTCCAGACTCTGGGGTTCTGGAGTTTGAGGGATTCCAGGCTTTTCAATGGTGCTGGGAGCTGTGCAGCTCCTAAGGGCTGAGTCACCTCTGCGGCTTTGGCTTTTCCCATCAGGAGGGTCAGAGACTGATTTGCTGCTAGGATTTGTTAACCCTGGATGCCTTTACAAACTGAGTTCCCAGGGTGCAGTGTGGAAGGAGGTGTTCATATTTGGGTGTTTCTTTCAGATAAGTTTAGGTTTAGATAGTATAGATGTTTGATACATTTTGTTCATAGACACAAGTTAGTTGTCCTTTTTTAGACTAAAAGGGGAATTGTAGGAGGAAGTCTGTATGCCGCCATTAAACATGTGACTTACTAGAGGCGCATACAGATGAGGTAATAAAAGGGTGGTTTACCACACCGCTAACCACACCCACTTTAGGCATGACTAAAGACGTATACGGCCAGATGTAAAGACATATACGTACATAGGCGGTGAACTACGTCACTAGCCAGGCCCACTTTTGGGCATGGCTAGGGGGCGTTACGGGGGAAGGCATAAAAGACAGCACACAGGAAGTCTCGGTCTCTTTTCCCGGAGTTCGGCTTCCGGTTCGACGGGGGGGGGGCACTACTTGGCTCATCTGGGTTACTTGTTTGGTATCTTGTGAGTAATTTCTACAATAAATACCTAGTTTTACTTTCAGTAATTGTGTTGATTATCGTTACAGCGTCATTTGGAGCTACAGCAGTGAGCTTTCCCAAGTCTCCACTGTGAACGAGTCTGCTAACAGGTATACATGTGTGTACTTCTGAAACCAGTCCCCAGCTCAGGTGTGGTGGTGGCAATGCCTATATTCCTAATGCTTAAGAAACAGAAGCAGGAGGATAAGGAAGTCAAGGGCAGCCAGGACATGAGACTCATACTCCAAAACAAACAAACAAAAATAAAACAACACGACAAACCAAAAACAAAGCAAAAACAGTAGGACCCTGCTTACTGACCCTCTGACCTCTTTAAAAAAATCAATGTTTGTTTGTTTATTTATTTACTACCCTTCTAGTGTCTCACATGCGCTAGGCAAGTGCTCTCCCACTAAGATACTGCCTTCGTCCCCCTCCCACTTTGTCCCTTTTTATTTATTACTGATACAAATATATTCAAAGGAAAATTTGAGATATAAGGCAAGTAGGCTTAGTTGATTTTACCAATCTTTCTGAAACCTAAGAGTCAAGCT